AATAAAGCGAGACATCATCAGAAGGAGTGAAAGTTGACAAAAACTTGTTAAGGAGTTTACCAACACTCATTATCCAAACAGAGCTAAGGCCAACAGGATCAATGATCTCTACAATGACACCCTTGCCCGTCATTTCCGTCAGGTGTCGAAGAAGAGAGAGAAACAGACCACCTTGGACATGTTTTTCAAGCAGCCAGCTGCCAAAAAACAAAGGGTGGAACAAGAGGAGTTGACCCCGCAAGCTCCGGTAGCCTCTCCTGAATCTGACTCCGATTAAAAAACAATAAAAAAAGACCCGCTGCAATGTGTACAAAGTCTGTATCTGTATGAATGTGTGAGGAAAGTGTTCCTCCACCTCATCCTGACAACATCTCACTACCCGGCATAATTGGTGACTGCTCCATTTTCATTTTTTTATGATACAGTACGGTTATCTTATGCTGTGGAACGAATTATATGTTTTAACATGTATTTCTATGGGAAAATGCACTTTTCACTTAACGGACGTGCACCTGGAACGGATTAGGTGCGTTATACGAGGCACTACTGTACTAAAACTCTACTTTGTTTATATGCCGGTTTTACGAAGAGCCCTCGCTCTGTGACGGATTATTGCACAATTCCCGTTTTGTGACGAATGGGTTTACCGCTTCTCCTTTTACCACTAATATAAACTTTCTGCGATGATTTTACGAAATGCCATATATAAATATCGAATATTCTATCGATAATTTCTGTATAATAAGCTAGTTAGTAACGTATCCGAAAATACAGTGCTGACTGGGGAATATAATTTAGATAATTTACTTGTAGAGAAGTAATAACGCTGGCTTTACGACGGTTCGCTTAACAAGTCTTTCCAATTGTCACGTCGATTCGCCGTTAGCCGTTTGTGTTTTAAAGAAATGAAATAACTAGAGTATCTTAAAAATCAGCGTTAATAATTTCATTTTCTATTCGTAAAAATAACGTTAATCTTATAGGGTTTGGGATTATTACGGAAACCCAAATTTTTTCCGGAACCGGAAATATACCCAACTCTTCCTTCCTCTCGTTATACGTCGCCCAACGGTTATTATTTACTAAACAAAAGTTAAATTTGTCGGGCCAATAATGCTCGGGAAGTATACGATAAAGATGTCAAGGCTGTTATTTTAATTTAATTTTATTTTTGTCGTTTTATTTAGAAAATACTAAAAGTACTCTGGCAAAGGACAATGCTCTTTACCGCTTTGATTTCAAAAGTATCGGTAATAAACGAACAGCAATTTCAGCGATGTATCGCTTACTACTTTGTATGTAGTAAGCAACAATTAGGCAAAGTACAAAGTTTAGTGACTAATCAGCTTTCCCCAAATATATAATGCGTACGTTAAGTAATATCTATAGCAATACTACTGAAACGGTAGTCCGCGAACAGCTAATTACCCAGCCGTTAAGGTTTCACTTAAAATTTCATAATTTTATGTATCACTTCAAGAAAATGAATTTTAAAAAATTTTTATTACTTTTGTTTTACTTTATGATTTAAAAACTGCCAGGGGTAGATCGGCCATCGAAATCGGCCTACAAACCCATTTTTTTTAAATGATAAAATCCTAATTTTGTTATTGTATTGTTTTTACTAATTAAATCTCAAAATGAACAGGAAAAAAAATGCATTTTGATTCCATTCTTTGTGTTTTATAATTATTTTAACAAAATTCCTACTCCCGGATGATGGAATAAAAGAAAATTGGTCCACAAACACAGAAAGTTCGAGAGCGCCGATCTAAAGATTTCACAATAAATTCGATTTGTCGAAATTTCTCTTAATGACGAAACCGCGTGTAACAGTTATGTTGGTAAGGGTGTTATAAATGAATTAATAAGTACAATTCAGGAGTTGTCGGCGTAGATTGCGTAATTAGAATTTTATTAAAATTACTGTACTTTGTGAAACAAACCCGCACTGGTTGTTAACATACGGTCGAATTTCGCTAATCCCACACCGAAATACCCGGTAATTCGGCATTATAATCTAGCACCACTCTAGTTTCGTAGGTCGGGATTAAGAAGCCGGTAACGATTGTTTATTAATATTTTAAGGGATAAAAAGAATTGTGTTTGCAATTTATTTTGCCTATTAAAAACTTAAAAAGTAAATTCCAATTAAATAAATTATAACGCTGACCCGACCTATTTATTTCATTTTTCATTTGTCGGAAAGATAGTGTTTTTGGAATCCGATAGATGGCGATGCGGTCAAAAACACTACCCGGTGACGGTCGTACTGTTTCGACAAATTGTACGACAACGACATCTCGCGATATAATAGAATAGTACGCGCGTATAAATATAAATTATTATATATTATTTATTTATGTATTATATTAAAACATTTTAAGAAGTGTTTTAGCAATGTTTACCGTGTCTTAATTTACAAATATCTCTGTCAAAATAATTATAATTATTCTCATTCAATTTTTTCATAACTCTCTCCTTTATTCTTGTAAGAAAAAAATTTGAAAGTCAATTTTCCTTTCATCTATTGGCGTATTTTGCTTTTAATTAAGGAAACATTAACGATAATTAATTTACACGGCAATATTCTTAATAGCTTCACTTAACCTTTAATTGTTATTTATGATATTGGTCTGTTCCGAGGCGAGTAACTTTTCTTCGTCTTTTTAGTCTCGTCCGTCTCGCTCTTAAGTACACGTACGGAAAATAAATTGCAAACTTTCCTTCTTTGCAGCAATAATAATGATTTGATTAAAAACTATATTTTCTATCGCCTCACTAATGATTTTATATTCACGATGGTCCAAAACTCGGTTAACAGCGTTTAATTTTCCCGCATTCCAGATACGGTGGTGAATACGAATCGTAACGTAAACAATTCTTACGAAGTTTGTACGTAATAATTTAGTAACCGTATTTAGTCTTGGCAGCGGTTAACTGACCTTTAAACCCCTGTATATTTGATCACTGAGTTGTTTCAAATTCAAACAGCTTCACGCGGAAACAACGTGGCAATAGTGTTCTTATGTAAACGGTTGACGCCATTTTTTGGGCCCGACACTGATTAATATTTTCATAAGTTATTACTTTCTACCTTATACAGTGGTACCTCAGGATACGAAATTAATCCGTTCCGAAACTGAGGTCGTATCATGAAAATGTCGTAAGGTGAATCATTTTTCCCCATACGATTACATGTAATTCCAAATAATTCGTTCTAACACGAAAAACACACTCAAATTAAAGCTAAGTAGTACATTAAAAAAAAAGATAACTGTAGTAAGGAAAACACTGAAAATGCGTTTTGTAGTTGTAAATGTATAAATAACCATAATAGAATAATAATTGACGAAAAAAATGTAGTTTTATTTGCACTTTACCTTTGAGGATAGACGACGGTGGAGGTGTAAACTGGTAGTGGAGGAGAGGGAGAAGGGATATGATACTAAAACTTAACTTTACATAACATAATGTAACAATAACTTAAAAATAACTTAGAAAAGATAAAAAAAAATTAGTGTTGTTTTTTATATTTTTTTGTTTTAATTTTCATTCGCTGCTTTTTGCTTTTTTTCCTTCACTTCCATCAGAACTTTCACTGGCTAGAGGTCGCTCAGTAAAATATCTATCCAAAGAGGTTTTGGCTTTGCCTGCTTTTTAAAATGATTCTAAAATAACTTAGGCAAATGTCGTTACTCCGAGCGGCAATACAGCCAGTGTGAACCTTTTTGGGATGTTTTTTTCAATAAAATCGATCACTTTCTGATAATACCTCAAGATTTCCTTTATCGAGCGAAATCCTTCCACGACGAAGCAAACGCGGGACTGAGACCGATGAACAGAAGTGAATAAAAACTGGCGCTGCGAACTAATGTAACGTCGTATGGTGAGTTTTTGTTCGTATCGTGGAGCAAAAATATGTTCGAATTTCATGTCGTATCCTGAAAATTTCGTATGCTGGGGCGTTCGTATCCTGAGGTACCACTGTATATTTGCTGTACGTGTGAATTTTTTTCACTTCCGGACTCGGAGCAACTTGCCCTTTATCAAAAAATTATATCCATCAACGTTTTATAGCCTATCAAATATAAAGCTCTTATAAAGCTTTATGTAATTGTAGTATAATGGTTAAAAGGCGAGGCATTTTTTTAAAAAATAATAATAGCGAAATGCCAACTGGTAAAGACTTTTTAGATTTAAAAAATCTATATTTGACATTTCTAAATAATCTAATTTTATTCGTACTAATTGTTCCTACTGTTCCCATTGAAAACTTATAATTTTATAAAATTAACTTTCAAAAGATGCCAATAGGAAGAAATAATTTCTTATATAGGTCTATATTTATTAATAGATTTTATATAATGTTTCATTAGAAAACAAAATGGTCAAGTAAAAAGTCATTAAAAATATTTTCTCTAACAACTATTATTGTAAAATCTCCAATAATAACTTTAAAAGAAGTTTAATTAAAAAAAAATATCCGGTAATAATGTCATTCGATATGACTTTGGTATAAACATTTACAGCAGAAACCATTATTTTCTTTAGTCGGGTCTAAAATATCAAAGAAAATCTTCCAAAAAATCTAACTTTAAATGTTATAAAGAATAATTGACACAAAATTCGGTTTTGTTTTTATTATTCTACACAAAAATAAAAACAATAAACTCGAGTGATTGACGATCTCCTGTAGTCGATTTTTATTCATTTAATAAAAATTACCGTGTATTTTTTAAATATTAATTTTACTTATAGTCAGTAAAACTGTATACTTTTAACGAATATTCTGTACAAACAGAATTGCCGATACGTCACTTAATTTGTACCGCAAAGTAAACATAAAACGTATACCGGTATACGAATGTCTTGTTCTAGAATTTATCTATAATTAAGCTTACGACCGGAAGAATTTAGCGAAACAAAGGACGTACACACTAACGTAATGCGCGGATGTGGTAAATGAAATAAACAACGTACATAATTATATTATGTTTTATTTACAATATCTGCATGCGGAGCACGGACAAAATTAACACTTTCGGTTTCATCGAATGACATTTATTTTGTTTTTAATAACCCTGTATAATATTTTGTGTTTAATCGATACATGCTATAATGAACGAGAGAACAGAAATTTCCCTGGCAAGTCCCAGAGACTCGGAAACAGAAAAGAAGAGGGCAATCGTCCGACGGGGACAGAACCACCGGGAAGGAGCATTCATTTTCCAAACCTCATGTGACCGTAATCGTCGTATTTTTTGGCCATTCCTTTGGCATTTCTGCCGAACCTTAAATGACCGTAATCGTCGTATTGTCGCTTGAATTTCTTCACTTCTTCGTCACCGTCCTCGAAGTCGATCCATCCTCCGTCCATCTCCTCGTCGTCCTCCGATTCCGAGCCGTTTGGACGATGAAGGTCGATCAAGGGCTTCGCTGTTTCTTGGTTCTTCGACTTGTTGATGTACGACAAAACCATTTTTGCCAGTTTCTGCAATTGGCTGGTCTGGTGTAATGGGGACGATGACGTGTATTCGCTCACAATGGCCAGCATGATCAGGCTCATGATTACTGAAATGCTTCTCATCTTCTTACCTGCCCAGAAGATTTAAAATATTATTAACCGCTGACTGAAAATGTCTAAATTGTTGCGTACGACATACAATTTTACAGACAGAAATTGCCTGAAATGTAAGATTTATTTTATAAAAGTATGATCTAGCTGATGCTTTTACACAGAGTCTCATCCAGAAACCACGTGTAATTCACAAGAACTAATCTAAATTGGCTTATAACTTTTAAAAATATGTTACACGAAGAAAAATACTCAATCTTCTATTATGATTAAGCAATATCTTATTGTTACACATCGATCCTTAACAATTTTAATAAAGATTAAAGTATGTAAACCCAGAAAAACTAATGAAGAGGATGTTATTTTTAACTTCTACTTTACCTTTTTTAATACATTCTCCACAATACCATGCTAAACAAGTAAAATAAAAGTAAATCTTTAAACTCTGTAGTCTTTCCTGGAGCTCGTCTCGAAAGTTTTATCATCCCTATCGATTTTTTTGAACCGTTAAATCATAAATTTATTGACTACTGTTCGCTGTAGTGTGTTAGAAATCCATTCGAGTTTAAAATAGTTATCGTGTAGAACGTGTCAGAAAGAAATTGCAGAAATTTTATTTATTTTCACTTTCTTATTTTTTGTTTATCCGAAAGAAAATATCAAAAAGTAAAACATTAAAAGGAAATTCTGTAATTATTGGAATAGAAGTCTATCGAAATCGAAAGTACCCGCACCAAATGTGTGGGTTGCGGCGCGAAAGTATTAGTGTTGTGTCAGTAATCACGGATGAAACACCAATCTCAACGGCTATGAAAAACAACTATAAATATATTTTTCTACGGGGTGTAGCCAAAAAGTATTATAGAAAAATCCTATAAAATTGTAACTGGAAAAATATTATAGGAAAATTCTATAATTTTTTAACTTTTGCGGCTTTTGTTTTAAACAAAATACAGAGTATATATTGAAGAGCGTATAAATAACAGTAAATATATAAAATAATACGCCGTCTCTATCTCTCGAAACATTTCTCGTCCGGAGATCGGTAACTATAGATCTGTTCTTATTCTTGTTTTTTGACATTCTTAAGCATTCGTTTATCCTCTCCACTCTTTGATGTTATCGAATCATACGTGTCTTGGTCTTCTCGAAAAAATACTAAGCCCGTAACTAGCAGTTATTATAGAGAAATACAATAAACTGACAACAGATATAAATATTTTCTTAAACTTTATTTTATTTACTAGTTGTTTGTATACGTGTCGTATCAGTTGTATAATATTTAATAAATATGGTAACTATCATAAGCAAAATTATAGATAATTCGCGAGAAAAGGGTTTTAAAATGTTGGCGTATAATTAAACACGGAATAAAAACTATCCTCTTTAAACAATCCCAGAGCATCCGCGCGTACGAATTAAGTATTAATATATAACTAATAAAAATTTTAAATTATATTTTTAATTTATTTAATTTAAAATATATGCTCTCCTCCTCAAATTAATAGTGTCTTGTCCCCGTACATCATACTTTTCCCGATGACGAGAGTCGTGCCGATAATTTTCGTCACAAATAAAAGCGAACGAAAATCATTACGAAAATTGAAGCTATTATATATTATAAAAATGAATAATAAAGGAATAAAAGGAAGCGAAAAATCTATAGAATTAATCAATTTTACAACAAATATTATAAGCGACGACGAAAGATTTAATTTACATCAAAGTAAAATTAACTTAATTAGAAATTTGTCGCAAAAGAAAAAATAGAAAAAAAAATTAAGTGATAAAGCGTTAAAAATTTCATTATAACGTATGGAGAAAACAATTTACTATACGTTTACGTAACGACAAATAATTAATTTTAATAGAATTTTACGAAAATAAAAGTATTTGTCGATATTATTTATCACGGTCGTGGCGTGTATTAACATAAATAATACTTAAATATGTCATTAACCTTTACGTAGGGTAGTAAATAAATATTTGTGTACTTTAGAATATATTAAACTGTTTTACACGTTTTTTTTCTACTGGAAAATTCTTCTCGGTGACACCTGAGAAACAAAAGCCAGTAGAGGCAGGAGTGTCCTTTATAATTACTTGGCGAATATCGACAGCGGAGAGTGTGGAGAAAGAAAACAATAGGTTTTATCTATTTTTAGTTCGTTTTCGTTGTCAGAATGTTATCAAAACTTCCAGAAATCGGCACGAGTAAATCTTGTTTATTCGAAAAACAATCTTAGTTATGTTTTACTCGGATCAATTCTTCCGCGTGTGAGGAATGAATAATTGCAAACCTTTCGATATTACAATGGTAAATCTTGAGTAAATATTAGTTGTGGAATCTGGAAAGGATCTTCAGAGAAATCCATTTTTTTACCCTCCCTTCTTCTTTTATCTCATATTGTGGATTATTAATCAAACTAACTCTTGACACAATAATAACAAGTTGATTAATTCTTCTTTTATATAGTTAAATATTATCTTTTGGATATAATAGTTGATGAAATTAGTTCGGTAATTGCGTTTTTATATATACTTTACTTCAAAAATTTCGTCCTACGTTCTAGAGTTTCTAATGAAATCTCTTTGATTAATGGCTCACCACTCCTAAATTCATAAAGAAAGTTTAAGAAATCGATGCGGAGTGAATATCGATAAGAGGGAATCTGGAAACGGATAGATACATTTACATTGTTTCTATGCATTTAACGTATCGAGTGAGGATTAGTTATTAATTTTTTGTTTTCTCAAAGGAATTACTGCCAATGGTATATAAAGTTGTCGCATGAATGTTGGATAATTGGCTAAGTATCCGCTATCGAGTTTAGTTCGCGATATTCTTCAAGTACGACTCGAAAGGAAACATTGTTTTTGTGTTAAAGGTGAATGACACGAAATGACTTTCTATGAGAATAATTTGGAAACTAAAGCCAAGGGTAGAAACTTTGGATTAAAAAGTATCAAATTCGAATTGCATTTTAAGAAAATAAACTCAAAAATTGATATTGTACGTAGCAGTAAGTTGAAGTACAGTAAGATCCCGCTTAACGCTGCCTGGCTTAACGCCGATTCGATATAACGCCGTCTGCTCGAAGCCTAAAAGAACATCAAAATTTACGCCGATTTAAATTATCGCGGCATTTCATCGATTCGTACATAAGACAATTATTTGCCAACACGAACCAATCAGAAAAAGGTGGCAAAAAGGTGTACTTTTTTTAAATCTATGTTCGTTCGGTGCAATTTTGGAAAAAATTTAACAACACGGATTTCGTAGGAAATATCGACTCGGTTTGGCAAGAATTAACCGATAAATGCGCGAACGAAATGTGGAAGAAGGTATCCAAGAATTCTCGACCAGAAGAGCCTATCGCTGTATCGTTAGGTCGACCAAACGCGACCTAATGGATACAGCGGGATATTGAGGAGTTACCGCGGAGTTTTGGTGAGAATCTTATCAACGACGACCTTCGAGAACTGGCAGAACAAGGAATTCGTGTAGAACTGGAACAAGGAATTCGTGTAGAACTGGAAAATTATTCCGAAAACGAAGATCCAAAGAATTTCTCTAGAGATTTCCTTAGTAAGAGTTTGGTATCGATAACCGAAATCATCGATCGAATTGTAGCGAACGATCCGGATTTTGAAAGGAGTGCAAAAGCGAGACCAGGCGTTTTGGATGCGATATTCGGCTACCGACATTTGCTCAAGGAAAGCAAAAAACGAGGAATGAAACTTCACCACTTTATTGCAAAAAAAAAAATAACAAGAATTTCAGAAAAGTCAGGACCTTCGTCACAAAAAATGACCTATTAATATAGAAAAAATGAACTAATTAATATGTTATTATACATTTTTGTGTCATATGTTTATGTGTTATTTAACATATATTATTATACGAATTAATATAAAAATAACTTAAAATTAAAGTAAAATTTGTTTATTTTTGGTGGCGCGTTCCCCTTACCCTATTTACTCTATTAAAATGACCCGGTTTAACGCTGTTTGGTTTAGCGCTTTGTCGTCTAGGAACGCATCCCAGTCTTACTGTACTTTAAATTCGTAAAGTACAGGTATTTAGAACTTCGTCCATCGACGTATAACGAATGTCAATAAGTAAAGATCCTATGAAATATACATTTGTACAGTGGCAAGTGAAGAATCTCGGCGACGCTAGAAGAAATGTCTTAAGCTCTATCTTGTCAATTAAAAATCTATAGCTTATAAGATCAAATGTTATACTGATCTTGTGGTAGAGCGACGGGTCTACCACGTAGTCAATTTATATTTTGTTAATTCTGAAAAATTCATACATTAAAGTGAATTATTAACGAAGAAAGTATTGTCGATGCTTATTTACGAAATTATTTCGAGTGAAACCTTATTTTATTATAACAAATTTATATTTAAAAAATTTTCTATTTTACTTTCGTAAATGATTTATTGTAACTTACGGAATAATGGAAAAATTGTTTAACGTTATAAACAGAAAAATTCGAGTCGACGGATTCTCTTCGGAATCACTCCATCATATTTATTGATCCTCCAACTTACAATGTTAAATATCCAATAAAGCGTGAAAGAAATAAGATTGTATTAAACAGTTTTTTACAAAATATCGATTTGGAAAATACGGGATCGGAATACATTATTAAAAGAACAAATTTTGAAACATTTCTTCGGATTTTTCTCTACATTCTTCGATATTAAACATAAGAAATTCGTAGGAATAAAACGAGATTTATTACAATTTAATCCTACAATCATTCCGGAATAGTTAAATGGAGTCCCAATAATGAAACATACCAAGTAATTTCTGGAACTTCTAGAAAACTCGGAGAATCTATGTGCAGGAGTTATCGCTTTTAAAATAATTTCTAAAAATATTTCAGCAAATACAACAAGTCCAGAGATAACATTGTGAATTACACTTTCGTCACCACTACAGCATCTGAGAGTTTTCGCTAGAATAGTCGCAATAAATTTCTAACGCTTACAGGTTAATTCGGCTACA